GAATCCTGAGGAATTCTTAAGGATCCGAAGGAATCCTAAGGATCCTAAGGATCCTAAGGAATCCCAAGGACCCTAAGGAATCCTAAGGATCCCAAGGAATCCTAAGGAATCCTGAGGAAACGAAGTACTTCTGAAGAGGAAAGAAGTACTTCTGAAGAAGAAAGAAGTACTTCTGAAGATCCCATGGTAATTGGTCCCATTTCTGGTTGCAATTCGCTCCGAACGGTTGGAATTGGGACTAGTCGGTTGTAATTCGTCCCATTTCGGGATCACACCTGCCTGTGCCTCATGTGTTCAGCGCTGTGCCTGACTGCCGCCGGTTTTGTATACCCGGTCGCCCATGCCTCATGGGACTGGTGGCGACAGCTTCGCAGAACGCACCCCCCCCAAGGAGGACGAGGTCTCGCGGTGATCTGCGTGGGACACCCCTCCGCTGGACTTCCCAAGAGCCCACGAAAGTGGCGACAACTTTGCAGATTGCAGCTCCCCAGGGACGGCGAGGTCTCGTGGCGAACTGCGTGAGACACCCTTCCGATTGAACCTCCCAAGAGCGCGCAGAAGTGGCGATAGTTTCGCAGATCGCAGAATCCCAGGAGACGGCGAGGTCTCCTGGTGATATGCGTGGGACACCCTTCCGCTGGATCTCCTAGGGGCCCACGAAAGTGGCGACAGCTTCGCAGCTCGCACCCCCCCAGGTACGGCAAGGTCTTGGGTGATCTGCGTGGGACACCCTTCCGCTGGACGAAAGCGGCGACAGTTTCACAGATCGAAGCCCCCCAGGGACGACGAGGTCTCGTCGTGATTTGCGTGAGACACCACTCTCTGTCCGGCACTCCCACGAGCCCACGAAAGTGGCGACAGCTTCGCAGATCGCAGCCCCTCGGGGACGACGAGGTCTCGTGGTGATCTGCGTGTGACACACCTTGACCTCCCAAGAGTCCACGAAAGCTGCGACAGCTTCGCAGATCGCAGCCCCCCAACGGACGGCGAGGTCTCGTGGTGATCTGCGTGGGACACCCTTTGACCTCCCAAGAGCTCACGAAAACTGTGGGGCACCATCCCGCTGGACCTCCCAAAGGCCCACGAAAGTGGCGACAGCTTCACAGAACGCAGCCCCCCAGGGACGGCGAGGTCTCGTGGTGATCTGCGTGGGACACCCTTCCGCTGGACTTCCAAGGAACCCACGAAAGTGGCAACAGCTTCGCAGATCGCAGCCCCCCGGGGACGACGAGGTCTCGTGGTGATCTGCGTTGGACACGCCTCCGCGGGACCTTCCAAGAGCCCACGACAACGGCGACAGCTTCGCAGATCGCAGCCCCCCAGGGACGGCGAGGTCTCTTGGTGATGTGTGTGGGGCACGCCTCCGCGGGACCTTCCAAGAGCCCACGACAACGGCGACAACTTCGCTGATCGCAGCCCTCCCAGAAGTCCACGAAAGTGGCGACAGTTTCGCAAGCCGCGGGCACGAGGCAGGAGGTAGAAGGCAGGCGGGACGAGAGAGGACGAGGAGGGAGAGGAGGAGAGGCGGGAAAAGGAATAGGAGAAGGAGAAGGTGGAGACCACAGTGCTCTATCCAAGACGAGACCACAGGCAGGCTGCGAAAAACTACGCCCGCGCCCTTGCGAATTCGGACGGAAACCATAGGTTTGCCAACGTGTTCATAACATGCTACCACACGTGCGACTCGCACGCGCATTTCAAAATCATTACAACGCCCTTGCGTGCGTGCGGTAGCAAGAATCCCTTGCAACAGAACGACGAAATGCACGCGCGCGCGTCGTCGCGCGCGCATGCCGCAATCCCTCAAACACCTTAGGTTTCGCAGGGATGTCAAAATCGAATGCCCCGCAAGCATATGAAAACACATGGCTTTGCAACAGCAGTTGTCAAACAAGCCCGCGCTCGCGCCCCTGCGAATTCTATGGAAAACCAGATGTGTTTGTTTTTGTTTTACCCTGTCCACTGCATTCGGCCAACCGGGCCTCTCGCGTCGCAGTCCGAAAGGGGGGCACGATCCGCGCCAAATAAAGCCATGGGGGCCACTCTCGCGCGTCGGCCGGGCGCACGTCGAACTTCTTCCAAAAACTTCAGCACCGAGGCGAAGACGCCGTCATCGTCGTCGGCGTGACTAGCATCGGGGCAGTCACTGGCCTTGCCGCCGTCGTTGCCACCATCGTCGCAAGCATCGCTACCATCATCATGTATACGGACGTCGACATTGCCATGATACCGCGCCCGCCGAAGCCGCCGACTCGCACTGAAGTGCCCGCTGGGAAGAACCCAGCGGTCAGCGCAACTCGGCCGCGTCGGCCGCGCCAAACTAGCTGGACGCTGCGCGCGCGAGCATGCTCGGGTAGCACGGCCGCAGAGACGCCCCGGCCAACACCAAGCACTCATCGCAATCGCCGCCGCATGGTTGTTGCAAACCAAATTGCGGGTGGGTGGGATGGGATGGTTGCGCGAGCACTGGAGTTGACAACTCACTGCGAACAAACATTCCTAGCACACCATAGATTGCACTGCGCACCAGGATGTCTACTATCATATGGTTCAATCGTCTGGGGCCCTACAGCCCCCACCCCTAAGCAGACCCCCTGGAACATTGGCCCCGGGAGCACCCTGGACTCCCTTGCAGACGGTCCTCTGTCCTGTCTGGGGCTCCTGAAGCACCTGCTGGGCCTAGGCAACTGGCCCAAATCGTTCAGGAAAGCGGCCGAACGGCCCCGCGAGAGCCCACACAGGCCACAGACACCCGCCAAACGCCCGAAGACGAGCCAAAGAAGACCCCCAAGAACCATTCGAAATGCAAAACGCTATGGTTGGTGTATGATTTGGGGATGCTCTCTTCCTCGGCTTTCCGGGCGCCCGAGACCGCCAAACTTAACAAAGAGGGCTTCCAGGCATTCCAAAAGGAGCTCCAACACGACCCAACAGGGCCCCAAGATGGCCTGATGACCGCCCAAGATGGCTCCAGGACGTCCCTCGAATCATGCCGAATCGTGGCCTGGCCGTTCAAGGAGACCGCGGCTGGAAGCAGGGTGGCCCGGGGAAGCCCCCGGAGGCCCCCAGAAGGAACCGAGGAGACCTCCAGAAGGCCCCAGCAAGTCCTTAAAAACGTTCGTGAAGCCCCCAACAAGCTCTCATAGGATGAGCCTCCGCAAAAAGAGCTGAGGAAGGGGACGAAGTCGCAGGTTAGGGCGAATATGAGAAACAGGAAGAGGAAACATGAGGGAAGGATGACGAATCACATTGTTCTTATAACGACGATGCCAGAAAAGGCAACAACGAGTCATCGCTAAATGGTCCAGTTTACCTCATTGTCTTCCTGCCCGCATGCCCAGCCTCAGTGACCAGAGTGCATGGCGCGAAACGCCAATTCAATTATATATATATAAACATATATGTATGCGTGCAAATACATACATGTGGACATGTATGTCTATTTATCGAACGGGGTATTTGTGACCTGCCGGTGAGACCGTTAGTTAGCTCCTCCAAAATGCGGACAGTACATAGATCCATATCCAGAGCGTCGTGGACTTTTTAGGAAGAGGTGCCGCAACGCCGAGGCGCACTGGATATGGATAAAATCAAGCCTCTTGGGGCCAGATGTTTATCCATATCCAGTGCGTCTACGGTTTCTGGGGAAGAGAGCCCAAGACTCCAAGACGCACTGGATGTGGATATAACTATTGCTCGCACAAAAGGAGGAGTGATGCCCCCACACAAACTTCATTTTGCAATTCGTGGTCCTCTGGCTCCTCCCTCCCTGGCTTCTCGACCAAAGCGCGACTCCAATGTTTCTACATGTTCTACCTTCGGATGCCCGCTCCGGGGCCGAGGCAATCAGAACATGTCCAAGAATTAAAGGCGGAATCGGGGAAGGGGTTTAGAACAATGTCCAGGCCGCACCCCGCTACTGTCTGCCTCGGAAACTCCTCCTCCGCCTCCCCAACCTCCCCCCCGTCCTCCTTCTCTCCCACACCAGCTCCTTCTTACTATGCCTTCTCCTAATTCCTGTTTGGCTGGCATCTTCTCTCTCCACCAACTCCTTCTGTTACTACTTCTTTATCCTGCTGCTCCTCCACTTCATCCCTTCTCCACCCTCCTCCCCCTTTCCTGCCATCCCGCTTCATTTATCGAAAACGTCATCCTGTCGGTCACCAGACGTGACACCAATGCGACCCAGGCGGTTCGCCTGAGGCTTCCTTGACTGACACCCAGGTGGTGGGCGGTCCATTTTCAAGATGGTTCTCGATCGTGCCTTGACGCCGCGAACACCTGCCAGAAGCACATCCAACGATCACGACGGTTGAGGGCGGCTCCTTTTCATAATAAAGCCCTCGACTCTGCGCCGCGCACGGGCCCGTCTCAAAAGACGTACTGCTGCACGGAGGGAGGGCGCCTCCTGGACAGGATGGAGCGAGCACACGACAATCTTCCGGGTCTACAGAGACCAGGAGCCTGGCAGTGCGAAGCAGGCGCGCCGACGGAGGGCGGACCCTCATCAAGACTGGGCCCTCGCCTGAGACCCGTTCAGATGGTTGCCTGGGCATTGCTCGGACGTCCATTCCCTGTGTTTTTTTCGGTTTCGTGCATGGTTTCTTCCCCAAGTCATCAAGGATGCTCCTCGATGGTCCTCGCCGAAGGAAAAATGCACACGTCCGAGCGATGCCAAGTTGCCACAGAATGCCAAGAGCCAGGATGGCCGAGACACTGGCTCAGCTCCGCGGATGGAGGAGGGCTCTTGCACTTCATCGACTACCGGCCAGACTACCCCAAGCCAACCCGAAGAACCGATTTTTTCCCGAATTTATGTTTTTTTTGGGGGGGTACGGGTTCCATGTGTTTTTTTCAATATTTATGTTCCCCGACCCCCCCCCCCGCACTAGAAGTGGAGGGCAAAGCGGGGCCGTCGGGTTGGGTAGGGGCTGTGGCCCCACCTGGCCGACTCCCGTGCACAGCGGAGGATGGAGGCAGCCCCTCGCAGCGCGGAGCTCCGGCCGGAGCGGCGGGACCCGTCTGGAGGGGGCTGACCTTCTTCGAGGAGGGCGCCTCGCGCAGGGACGGCAAAAACCCGTTCGAGACTCCAGGCAACCCGTAGCACAAGGATGCGCGGTATGGATACGCCTCCTCATCCCTCCCTCCCTCCCTCCCTCCCTCCCTCTCCCTCCCTCCCTCCCTCTCCCTCCCTCCCTCCCTCCCTCCCTCCCTCCCCCCCAACACTCCCTCCCTCCCTCTCCCTCCCTCCCTCCCTCCAGGCCCTGGAGGCCCCTGGGACCATTCTTCGAAGGAGGCTGGCCAGCGAGAGTGGCCAAAGATGGGCCGAGGAGGCAAGGATGCAGGGGTACCCTTGGGAACGTTTCCCATCCTCACTGTGCGGGTTGACTGTAATGACGAAGGGTCTTGGAACGGGAGAATGCCTTCGCAACATCGTTAATCCATCTTGGGTCTACTCTGGTTGTTCGTCTCCCCCTCGCCGGGAATATGATGTCTCCCCCTCGCTATCCTACGTGGGCCTTCTGGCCAGAATTCTGCGCCCGCTCCTCGTCCTCTTCCCTCCTCTCTTCCCCGACGTCCTTCCCATCATCCCTCCTCGTCTTCCTCTTCCTCCTCACCTCTCCCCCAAACCCCTCTCCTATGGCCCCCTCCCCATCCTCCTCCTAGCCGCTCCTACCCTGCTCCTCTGCTTGCTCCCCTCCCCCCTTGCAGCTGCATCCACCCCTCATCTGCCCCTACAAGAAGGCAAGCCAGCTAATCAACGACTTTCGGAGTTCCGTGCGGAGTTCTTCGATCCGCGCTGGACCCCCCTCCCTGGCGCCGCCAGGGGTCGGCTGATCCCTCTCCTGCTCGTGTCTCTCCCCCCTCGCCTCTCCCTCCTGCTCGTGCCTTCCCCCCCCCCTTTCCCTCTGCCTCCTTCCCCCTACCCGCCGTCTTGCCCCGCCCACCCCACCCCCCCCACCCATCCCCTCCCGCTTCGACACCGCGACGCAAGAATCCCACCAGCCCTTTGGGCGTGAGTGGTTTAGCGAGCTCTCTCTGTTCTCAACCCCCCTTCTTCCCCTTCGGGGAGGAGTTTACCCCTCCCCCTACCCCCTCCCCCTGGGCCTGGAGAGGTCCCTCCGCGGGTGGCCGGAGGTTTTTTTTTTCGACTCCTGGGAGGGCTAAAAAACGACACCCCTCACGAGGATTCTGGCCCCGACGGGGGGGGGAGAAAAATGCTCGCCTCTTCTTTGAAGCCAACATCATTGACTTTACTACGGTTTTGGCCCCATTTTGGCCTTCTGAGGGGGCAGCGCTCATTAAAGCTCCCCTCTTCTTTCAAGCCAAAATCATTGATTTTACTAAGGTTTTGGCCCCATTTTGGCGTTCTGAGGGGGCAGCGCTAATTAAAGCTCCCCTCTTCTTTGATCGATTTCCTCCAAGATGGCCCCAAGAAGCGCCCAGGAGGCACCAAGAGGCCCCAAGATGGCCCCAAGAGGCCCCCAGGAGGCCCCCAAGAGGATGCCAAACGGCCCAAAGAGGCCCCCCCGAGGCACCCAAGACGCCGAAAAGCCCATCAGGACGACCCTCTACTCGCCTGGGCGTCGTTTCTGGACGGGCAGGAGGAGGGGCCCGAACGACTCACACCAGGACGAGGGGCCCGAACAACTCACACCACGAGAAGCCCGAACGACTCACACCAGGACGAAGAGCCCGAACGACTCACACCACGAAGAGCCCGAACGACTCACACCAGGAAGAAGGGCCCGAACGACTCACACCAGGACGAGAAGCCCGAAACGACTCAAACCACGAGGAGCGCTTTCTCTCCCTCCTCCTCCGCCTCGTCCTTCTCCCGCTCCCACCACAAGGAGGATGTACAAGGAGGCGGGAGGAAGGAGGAACAGGGGAGATATGCGGGGGCAGGCGGAAACACGCCTGAAAAACACGACTGTCGGCATGCTTCGCTAGAGTTGCTGTTTTGAGATGGGCTGGTGGGGATACGCGAAGCGTGAAGAATTATGTCGGGCGTGTCCCCCTACAGATGGTTTATTCGACGAAAAATTATCCCGGCAAAGCAACCTAACATCGATGTGTAGGAGCATATCTGGAAGCATTCCCCTTACGATTCGGATGAGAATCCAGTTGTAGAATTCTGCTGTTCTCGCAATCGTAGCCGCATTCGCGATGACAGTCGCAGTGGCAACGGCAGTCGCAGTCACAGCCTCAGCCTCAGCCTGCCTCAGCCTCAGCCTCAGCCTGCCTCAGCCTCAGCCTGCCTCAGCCCCAGCCTCAGCCTGCTTCAGCCTCAGCCTCAGTCTGCCTTCAGCCTCGGCGTCAGCCTCAGCTGCCTCAGCCTCAGCCTGCAGCAGCCTCAGCCTCAGCCTCAGCCTGCCTCAGCCTCAGCCTGCCTCAGCC